ATGGCGAGGTGCCGTGTGTGTAATAGTGGTGAAAATGACTCCTTAAGCTTTTGCAATGTCTGAATTCACTCCAATAGTCGTCACAGGCCCGGGGCGACTGTAGGAAGACAAATAATCAGAAAACATCACAAAAACAACACACACTGATCTTATTTGTATCGCCTGCTGTTGTGTGTCTGTGGTGACTCAGAGAGCTACAGGATGGCAGCTGATTAATGGAGTTATACAGGATCAACAGCTGGGCAACATGTGTGTTCCCAGCCGTGTTAATAACTGACTTAAGACTTGCTGATTTAAAAAAATAAATAAAATAAAAATCAGAATATATTTAGAGGAAATTGAATTGTGAGTTTTGACAAAGGCCAATTAATCTCCCTGAATCACATTGAAAAGGACAACAAAAAAAACCCTATTATGATGAATTACAAAGTTTAGATATTGATTATAACCCAATATATAACATGCATTTTCTCCTTCTCCTTTTACAAATATATTAGGATAAATGATTTCTAACATGTTTCCAATTGAGTCCAGTTATTTCCATTTAACAGAAGAGAAAATACAACATCATTAGTAACTGTTTGCCTTTCACTTATCTGACTTTAGGAATCGTTTTTAAACTTGACTATAACAGCAAAACAATCAGATAATAACCTTTTACTCTGACTTTAAAGATAATCATTGTCAGCTAACATTGAAGGTTACCAAGGTGTCATGATGGATAAACTCTATTTGATACAGATATGACTCTTTACTTTAAATCAGAACAAGGCAGATTCAACAAATCATTATGTGTCACGAAGAGCATCAGTAACAATGTTTTTTAAAGAAATTACCCTCCACGGTCTTTCAGCAGAGCCGTCCATAGCTGCTGTGCTAACCTAAACAAGGGGGTAACATTTGTTCTTCTTTTCATTTAATTGTCGATTAGCAAACCAGCTTCAAGGCGCATTATTGCCACCTAGCGGACTGGAGTGTGGAGCAGTAAATAGGCAGACATGAAAAGAAAGAGAAATGTAAAGAGAACTAAAATAATTAAAGTAATACTGTTTCAACAGGAGTAATATTTCTATATGTTAAAAGAACTCACACATTTGTCACTGTAAATGCTGAAGGTGAAAACACAAACCACACATCACAGAGATCGTTCCAGTTCTTGTCTACCCAAGTTTAACTACCAGATTTGGCAGCTTATAGTTATCTTCTTTTTGGTATTTCTGCAATCTATGTGTCATGTAATAATTAATTGATAAAAAAAAAAGAAGCATTTTTTGCCAATATATTTGATCAAATTGCACCCGGATAAACGAGTTCGAATCATCAGCTTCTTCCGAAATGAATGGCACGCTAAAGGCCAGAAGAGAAGACACAAAACATCTCGTTGTATTCCAGTTCTCATTCGGCAGTTTGTGTTCATGCTTAAGACCACACAAAAATATCTATTTGCTCCAAATAATCCATTTCAATACACAGTCCTTTATTTGTCTATAAATAAACCAGAAACAAAGGAAAACACTTTGAAATAATCTTTAAACTCAGAAAAAAAGATTAAAACTTAAAATACTTTATCATCAAAAACAAGAGCATCCAGCTTTTATTGTTCAGAATTATGGGGGATAGCAGTATATTTAAAGTGAATTAAAATGAAACTCTTGGAAAAAAGGAAAAAAAAGGGGGGAAGGGAAGAGTCAGGTGTTTCAAAAGCAACAACAGTGATACGATTCTTCACAAGTCATTCTTTGTGTTGATGGTGTGTGGATATATTTCTGTTATGCCTCACTCAAAACAGTCACCCTGGGCGTGTGGATACCAAATTTACATTACATTATTTTATGCAGCTCAGCTTTTTTTTTTTTTTTTTTTAAGATGAACATCCCCGTCATCAACAACACAACCCAGAGCAAACATCTCTTCTTTTCAATGAGATAGAAAAAGTCCCACTGCATCTCAGGGCCAGTTTTTTTTTTTAATAAGTTTGCTGTAGAAGGTGACACTAGATCTGGTGGGTTTGTGCACATCAGCCAGTCCATTCCCACAAAAACCTTTAAGGCTTTCTGCCCTTCTTGCGTAGTGACTGTCCTTCTCCAGAGAAGGCGATGAATCTGAAAGCGTCATCCTGAGGGGAGTAACAGAGATTTAAAAGTTATGATTTAAAAACTACAGCATTAGTGTAACATTAAAAAAAAGGATTAAATTGTGAGTCTTCTAATAAAGTGAAATTCTCTAAACTGTTGTCGTGCACACACAGAGTACGGGGAAGTGTACAGACTTACTGCAAATACAACAGTGTTAAATATTTACAAGAAAAGTTTAAAATCTGTCACATCTCTTACATCTTCTACAAACTTCCTCGGCAGAGGCTTCGAGTTCCTGATGAAAGTGATCCTGCCAATTTTGAAGTCGTAGTTGGGAATGCCCCTGTGTGATGGATAAATGAGTCGAGGTTAAGACTGAACGCTGCATGGTTTCATCAGAAAACAGAAATACTTAATCTCCAGGGGAAACTTTGGGTGTTGAAGTTATTTCTAGAGAATAAAAGCATGACACAAAAACAGGAACTATAAAGAGTATAAGAAATATATAGAATATGTGAATGATGTACAATATAGGTACAGAGTACAATACACAGGGGGAGAAAATGTCGAACAGGCTCATGATCCCTCAATGAATTGTATTTAAATAAATTCTATGTTGTTGTTGTTGTTCTTGATGGGGATAACTTGTTGATGCTGATTGAAATAAACAGATGATAGACTTTTTGTTTCAAGGAATTCACAAAAAGCGAGGCCTTTGGCTGGTTCGTCTTTCCAAACGCCGACAGGTCACAGATCTTCTGACTGTTGCAAATATTTTCAGCACAAGCAACAAAGCAAGAAAATAATACACATCTGCTCATACAGCCAGAACAACAATTTTACTAAGTTGTCCAAAATAAGCTCACAAACCTAAAACCAACCTGTTGAAGCTTTAGTCCTATCAGAGAAATCTCTTCTAAGATAACAGAAGGAACAACTGGCCTGTTAGGCTCCTCTCGTCTGACGTCTCATAAAGGAATACCACCAGAATCTAAGCTGAAAGTTATTATGTTGAATATTTAAACCATTGTGTGATAGTACTTCATTTTATTTATGTCTTTATCTTTAAACCACTGAGAATCTTCCCACCTTTTGATATCGCTTGGGCCAAGAGGAGCAGGGCTGGGCTCAATCCCTTTTAGTTTACCATCCAAACGGTTTCCAGAGCCGGTGAACGCCTGATGATTCCAAACAGATTTCCAGTTTCATTAGATCCAAATACCACAGTTATTCGTACAAATGAAATAATGTTTTTATTCATAACACGCAGCAACATGTACTCACTCTGAATCCTGTGTCCATGTCAGCGTAACTGGCGGGATCGCCTTCTTCCTCCTGTGAAAAAAAAACAAAAAACACTTTGTCAAACTGTTCAGAGAAATAATTGTACAAATGCACATTAAGGTTTGGGCCTCACAGTTGGTTCTTCTTGGTGCTGAGGTCGACGTTCAGGCTCTTTGTAACCCAAAGGAGCATCGAAATCCACCTGAGACGAAAGGTCACATCATATTAAAAGTAGAGAACACCACAGGATTATTCACAGGCGTCTTTATGATAGAGGGGCTCTTACGTTCATATCACACTCGATGATCGACACGGCTTTGTCGGGTTTGGTCTCCATCACTCGCAGCTCATAGATCTGAAACAGAAGTTATACTCAGTACAAAGAAATAAAAACATATTCACATATAAGATCAAGTTGAAAACATGGGTTCACCTTTTCATTGTAGTTGATCGCTATGACATCACCAGTTGTCAGGCAGGCAAAGTTTCTCAAAGCGTTCTCCAGTCTAGAAGAAGAAACTTCATCAATCACTTAATCTATACAACAATGAGAATATTTTCTTCAAATGTAACGATGCTCATTAACATTTCTTACACTGCCTTAGGGTTTGTGATGTCCAGAAAGTCGGGGCTCTGGGTTGGAACTTTGAGTAAGTCGCCACCATGAGGTCCACACTTTCCACCTGGACAAGACCACCTTCCTCCAGCAGAAGGTTCTGCATCATCTGAAGCAAAAGTCATACAATAATTAACTAAATATCAACATGGAGCTCGGTTAATACCCAACTTTGTCTTTTAAAGAATCATATCAGAAGAAAAGGTTTCAGGCGTGATAAGAACAATAAAGGGCTTTCCTATAATGTAGCAGACTCGCAGCAATAAGAAGTTTTTAACAAACAATCAAACTCGAACAGCAGGTTTAAGAAAACCCGACATGATCAGCTGAAACGTCTGTACGCAGACAGCCTGGTCTCAAGACAATTCACCGGGGATTTTACAAAAAAAAAGACTAACCCAGTTTTTCAATTTAAGCTGAATGAAAAGTAATAAACAGTGCAGGGACACTTCACTGACAAAATGTCCTCGTATTTTAGCCTGAAGAGAAAGTTTGGAGGTCTGAAGTTGTTTTTGATAGTCGGGTCCTCATGGTTCGGTTTCTTACCCAGTGCGGCAGGTAGCAGATTCCTTCATCTGCCACAAACTCAAGGACACCACAGTGCGTTTGTCTGTCTGAGTTCTTGTTGGTCAGCTTGAACAGCATCGGGTATGTGATATTAAGCCTGCCTGTAGACAGAAAAGAAAAAGACAGTTCATATTCGTGGACGGTTCAAATAGGACTTTTATAATAAAGAGAGTCTTGATTTAACTTGTACTTACTGAGCTGGTCGAGAGCTGAAGGTGGCATTATTACTGAAAAAAAATATACATAACATGGTTAAGACATAAATAACATTAATGTCAAACTTTACCTGCAAATTAAAAAGTGTGAAGACACAAGGTATGAGTGAACTTTTGGGACTTTCACTTGTTTGTTTTTTAATTGATGAAATATAGAGGACTTTAAAACTTGATAACTTTAGTAAGAAAATGTAGCTGACAAAATACTCACACATCCTTCACAGCTTTCTATTCAAAGTTGAGAAGCAACACACGGACAAAAAGACAAGCTGAGGGGTCCTGCGGTGTCAGCGTATTTTTGTTATTTATAGGCTTGGCTGGTAATTATTCCCTGAGTCTGTATCAAACAATGAACTACAATTTACAATATTGTTAAATATTTTCATATCTTTGTCAAACCCAGACCCCCAAAGATATGCTGAAAGGGTTAGTTGCGTAAGAGAACTGACCACAGCAGCAGCAGACAACTCTAGCAAAAGGGTTGAGTTAAGTTTTATAAACATTTTAAAAATAAACAGCAAAGACCTTAAGGGTAAAGGAATTATCATTCTCTGTTGCAGTGTGTTTTGTTGGAGGGGGTGGGCCAAATATCTCAAACATTAACTTCACATTACAGTTTTTTTCCAATCGCTAAAACACAATTTTGCAAACTAGGCTGGTGTCATCAAAATACTTAACACAATTCACAAAACACCTCATATATATCCTGCAAAATGAAGCACTGCAACCAAAACTACATATAGCATTATCAAAATCAAACTTTTGCACCAAATGGCACACACTTCATTCATATTACCAGATTTTGTTAACCAACTACACACTGTCGGGCATAATGAAAAGCACTCTCATCTTTAGTATGCTTTGTCATAATACTAAAATAGCTCGAACTGTAGAAAATTCTTCAGATCGTTCACATGCACAGAAATATTTGCAGATACACACACATGCTGTTGAAACATTTTTTTAATTTTTCACCAAACCAGTCAGTGCTACATATACCAGTACAGTAAAACAAGTTGGGCTGATCTCTGTCCAGCCTCTCGCATTGTCAGCCCATAGTTGATGACATGACCAACTAGGTTGCTCTGATTTCATTTGAAAGTTGTTGTCTTCTTTGGCCATGAACTCCTCTACCAGCTCTACCCCTCCCTCTCACTCTTCCTCGTCTTCCATTGTTGTTGTAAAAAAAAAAAAAAAGGTGCTCACATGTTGTCTTTTCACAGTGTTTACTTCCTGATTGAAGTGATAACAATTAACCAGTTTGGCCAGGTGGCACATACATTAGCTCATGTAGTTTCATTTTGAATGGCAGTGTTTTGAAATGACAAACATGTGACTTTATGTCAGATTGTTGTGTCTTGTGCAGAGAACCGTGTTCAGTGCATTTAAAAAAAAAAAAAATGACATTTTGAATTGCAAAATGTGTGTAAAGCAGAAAATGTGTTCAGACTTTTGGAGACTTGAGAAGAGGTTTTCTCTCTCTGTGTCAGTTTAAATAATTGTGATATGCATGTCATTTTAGTGTGTTAACAATTGGAAAACCCCTGTAGCTGTATTAACTGTATGTGGAGAACTGTCCAGAGAGTGTTTCTTACTTTTGCCTCCTTTCTCCACGTCGGAGCGGTCATTGGGACCGGCCAGCATGGACACCGAGTAGCAGCGGTACTGAGTGGAGAACCGGTTCTGGAAACCCCGGGACAGCGGGTCGAAGACGTGGAAGGAAAACTGTGGAAACAAACAAAATCCTGAACAGTTTATATGAGTATTGTAACACCCGCGTACAGGGCTTTGAATCCCATCATGACAGCGCATCTTTCTGTCTTGTTGTTGTTAGCAGCTCGTTAGCTCAGATGCTCTGAGAGGGATTTGTTTTGGTATAAATGTGTCGACAGCGTTGGAACCGAGCGATGTGCTACTCACCATGTCGACACTTCAGTTCAGTGTCAATAAGAAGACCTGAATCTAAATGTCTGTCTCTGTTTTCCTAGTCGATTTTTTTGCCGAAAGTGAGATGTGAATCCACACTGTTGTTTTCCGCTTCTTCCGGAAGTGAGGAGACTGTCGGATATGACGACACAGTAGAGGTAGCCAATTACAGCAGCTCATTGAAACAAACGATCTTCTCTTTTGTGTGGAGATAAAATAAACTTTAAATGCCCCTAAAATAATATGAATGCACATTACATTAAACATTCAAAATGCACTGAGGATTTATTTGTTTATTATTAGTAAAATATGTACCTCGTTGTAAATGTCAATAAAGCCTATTTTGTAAATAAATGCTATTTTGTCAATTGCCTCATCCAACAAATACCCAACTGAAACATTTAAAATGCATTAAGACAACTATTTTAATTAGTAATTGTGTCTTGATTTTGTAGGTAAGATTGATGTATCAGTATTTATTTCAGTCTGTTTCATAACCATCTAAAAATGATTATTGTAGCTTGGGAATGACAGATGCTAAACTATCCTGACTGTCATTCCTTTGCTAAATCCAACTCCAAAAACACTTCTTCAAACGACCACAACATCCACTCAGAAGCTGTACCTCTTACCTACTTTGTGATACAACTATTCTGTCATTATCTTTTTACAAAGTCAGGACTTAACTTTCTGTTTTTTAATGATGAAGAGTTTTTTTTGAAGTGCTCAGAAATTTTAACATTTTTCCTTGATAATTGGTCAAAATCTTGCTGCGGGTGATCCTATGAAAAAGAGCTCCATTTCATCTGCTATGTGGACCTTCAGTTCGACTGCCAAAAGGAACATCCACTCTCAAACACTACTTTCTTTTATCGTTGGACACAAGCCGCCTGGGAAATGTTCATATAATAATATTACTAATAAAATGATTCCTTGACTACAATGCTGACGTTCATGGGTATAATCAAGGGAGCAGTTTCAGTACAGTACAAATGACTCATAAGCCGTATTCAGAGCCACACAGTTTTAATGAGTCTTATGAAGACCAAGTAAGCCAAACATTACAGACGGCAGTACAGTGATAAAAGGTTAAAAGTCTTTATTTAGCTCTAGTTGTTTGTTTGTTTTTCTGTCTGAAACAAAAGCTGTACAAGTCAAAGATACAGAGTATAATATACAAACATTAAAAAAAGGTCGGGTTGTGGTATTGTTGGTACACTCAGGAGGTCCACATGAGCCCTCACAAAGTAAAAAATGATTTCTACGGCACTGCAGGTCGACAAATGTCTCTGATCCCGTCTGCTAAAACCGTTCCTGCCTTCTTTTCAAATGTCAGCGTTTAAATTGGAGGCCAACTTTTGGCTACTTCTTGATGCATGGCTTCAGGTAACCACTGGCAGTATGCAGACAACAGAACTGTAGGAGGAGAAAAATAATTATTAAAACAAGATCAAAGAACAAGAAGGTGTATCAAATCAGCATCAAGCAGAGCACATGAAGTCTTTACATTTATCTTCAGTTGTCCAGACAGCGAGGAGGGTGTCTCTGCAGTCAACTCTCTTTGAAACCAGAGCTCCGAGGACAGCCTCAGTCCTCGGCTGCAGCCTAAATAAAGCAACAATCAAACACCTTTACAGAAAAGTCCATTCTTGAAATGAGGATAAGAAGCAGAGCCGTGTGAGAGCACCAACTTACTTTGCCCATGTTTTCATCATGATGGAGGGGTTTGAGAGAAGGTGGGAGCCAAATTTCGTAAGTTTAGGACAAACCTGCAAAACAGACAACATAAACTTTACAAAAGAAAGGCAAAAAATAGAGCTCCTGTCCGACCAGACAGCAATTGATTCTGTTTGTGCCCGGATTTACATTTTTAAGTCAGTTACCTTTTTTTTTTAGATAGAAATAAATGCAGATGAAGGAACAAGTCAGAGTACAATTTGTATAGATTTGATTTATACCTGTGGTTATTTTTGCTACCAAAGCATTAAGCAGACATGCATCCTTATAACTAGTAATAAGTAGTTATTTGTCTTCTCAAGATCTCAACTAATTTATGAACCCCTCAGAGTTGAAAGAGCACAAAACAAACACAGAAACAGGTTTAACTTTCTTCATAAGTGTGGACAATGCCAACATGGCATGTCATGGTCTGGCCCATCACAGTGAACAGCCTATTATGTTTTCTAGATTACTAGAAAAATGATCCAATTATCTCAATATATAAGCTTTATTATCTGGAGATAATAAAATCAATTCATCCGTTATAACGGGAAAACTAACATATTGATCACGCAATAAAGAGAAAAATAAGTCAAGATTTGTTAGCACAGGAAAGATTAAATAAAATATATCGACGTATGTCTGCTTTAGGTGTCAATATTTTATAATATCTATGTTTCATATGTTTACTTTTTTTTTTTTTAGCATTTATTGGGATACTGGGGTGACAACGATAAGCAGTCAGGACAGTTGAGGATGCGACTGAATGGATAGGTTAATGATTTTATGCCAAATTTAATGTCGAGTGAAAACTGAACAAAGGCCGGGCACTCTTATCTGCAGTACCTGTCCTTCGAGCAGAAATCTTGAAAACAGTTTGTAACGCTCCAGGCCGTCTGGATACTCCTTCTCCACGGCTGGCAGCTGCCAAGCTACACGGACTGCAGGAGGGACAGAGAGAAAAAAACGTGAATGTTGTAAGACAACTCTTAGCGTAAACACAGCCCGTGTTCCCGGCAGTAAACTTACAGAAGGTGCTTGAACGGAGACACCTGATGGTGCCGGTGGATGAACACAACCACGGTGATGGTGTCTCCAGAGGGGGGCCGAAATGACAATACTGAGGCAGAAGCTTTGGTACCCACTCTGCTTCTACTGCTGAGACACCTGAAAGAAGAATAACATGCTTAAATCATGAGCCCAACATCTACATTCAATAATAGCAGCGTTTTTTTTTTATGCTTTTATGACCTTTTATGTGGTGAATAGTGACAAACTGAGAAAACTGAGCTGCTCAATTAAAATCCTTTACCTTTCATGTACATCTTGGTGGTCTCCATGATCTCCTGGTAGACGACAAACTCCGGCAGAGTTTTGAACAGTGCAGAGGAGGGATGAATGAACACTGGCTCGTCCATGAGAGGAGTCTATGAACAGACGCAGAAAAAAGTTAAGAAGGTGAGGGAGAACGTTGCAGATCCGTTTCAATCACTATGACAACGTGCCTTGTATCCGTTCTTCCATTTTGGGTCCAGTATATCTTCAGCATGTACACGCCTTGCAAGATGATCTCCCAGTCCAGCCAGAACAATCTGTCGCAAACACATCACCTGGTGCTCTGTCGGGGGAGCCATCTTGGGATTTACAAAAACTCCCACATCTGGACACACTGCATTCACTGGGATGAGAAAACAAAAAAATCCTTTGATTGGTTTCTCTAGCACATGACAGGTTTTCTGTGTGTGTGTGTGTGTGTGTGTGTGTGTGTGTGTGTGTGTGTGTGTATGTGTGTACCTGCGTTGGTAAGCTGTCCTCTGAGCCTCCTGATCTCAACCATGGCTTTATACCTCAGGCCATTCTCCTCACAAAACTTTGGGGTACAGCCAGCAAATTCACAAGCACCAACCGCACCTACAACCATATGTATAAAGAAATATAAAATTACCCCATTGATGAACTTTACATAAAACATTCCCTGCAGAAAATACTATTTTTTTTAATATAGTTGATCCTTTTACAGATTAAACCATGACCCATGACACTCTATAACACAGCACTGCCTGGTATTGTAATGTAAAAAATGTAAGCTTACCCAGCATGACCATGAGGTCCCCCAGAAGGAGTGACGCTCCTTGTCCAGCCCACAACCTCTTCATTTGGGTGAGCCGAGCTCGTCGCTGCGTGAGCTTGGAGCTCTCGTCTTCACTGCCCGCGGGTCTGAGGGGAAACAAGTGTTGATGAAGTACGCTGCATGAGAAGACAACTGAGATTTAAAGGCTCACATCTCTTCATGTTCCCTATTTGTGTTAATCATTCTATAATGTATTGTCTTCAACATGTGCACCTCAAAACAGATATCACTACTGCAAACGTGAATCCTCACCTGTCGAGGTCTTCGAAGAGCTCCCTGACCGTCATGGCAGCTACCACAGCGATGACGTATGGCAGACAATCCTGCTGCTTACCCAGAGCTAACATCTTAGCGTAACGCGGCGCCACGGGGAAGGAAGCCATGGCTCGGCCCAGGGGGGTGATTGGACAGCTCAGCCTCGCTCGCTCCATCTCTTTCACCCTTTCAGAAAAACAAAATACATTGTGATCATGTGAAATAACTATCAAAGTAAAATTAAAATGTTCAAATAAAACACATAAGGGCACAACTCAGTGAATTCTATGATTTCCTGCTGTGGGTTGATGGAATAGTCTGTCAAAATAACCTGATATTAAAAGTTTTAATGTAAAGACTTCCCTGTTAGAGTCTTAGCAGAAACATGAATCCTCTTTCTTTACTCAAATATTTTGGTCATGACAGGGGAAGACAGGGAAACCCACCGTTAAAAACGTATTTACCGGGGCGCTGGTGGCGCAGTGGTTAGTGCGCGCGCCCCACGTATGGAGGCTGTCGTCTCAAGCGGGCGGCCCGGGTTCACCTCCCACCTGTGGCTTCTTTCCCGCATGTCATTCCCCACTCTCTCTCTCTCCCTGATTTCCGACTCTATCCACTGTTCTATCTATCCATTAAAAAGGCACAAAAAGCCCAAAAATAAATGTTTAAAAGCGTATTTACCTTCCTGTGTGGGGCGGCTCTTTCAAAGCCCCCAATGAGACTAATAACTGCTCCGCTGCAGCCAGACTCTCAGCAGAGGGAGATGTTGGGAACGGAAAGTTGATCACCTGCACAAACAGATATTTATAAGATGGCTGTTGTATTCTTGTATGCAGCATCAAGAACCTGGCTAGTAGGTTTTATTCATTCTCATTGTACTGACCTTGTCTATGTTGAGGTCCTTCATCTGTAAAACCAGGTCCTCCACGGGCCTGCGGGTGATCTCTGCCTCCGAGAACAAACTGAAGTCTCCAAAAACTGCTGAGGAGTACAACCTGCAGACACAGAGGAACAAACACGTGAAGCTTCTTCTCATGTAA